AGTTTGATATCTTTCATTAAACTTTTCTCTTCTACTTAACGTGAAAAAAAAATCTAGATTTGCTTTGGTTTTGTTGGAATAGTTCACATATTTTGTATGTATTTTGCTTTAATTGCATGTAGCCTGTGAGTTAAACATAAAAGTTTTGATTTATGCTAAGTTAAAAGTACGAAGTTTTCCAGGTTTTATACGATGTTTCTACTTGCAATCTGTTATCACTACACCGAATCACCAGGATGCTTTTAGGTTAACCTCTGGTTGTAGTAAAGTATAGTAGGAAACGCTCTGAAATTGAATTGTGTTTGTTAATGCAATTTTTTGTGTTTCGATAAATGTCTACTTAATTGCTATATTTTTTATTAGATCACTTCTTATAATTCTCAGCCTAGGTGCTCTAACTTTCCAAAGCCAGACGAGGATCATGAACATCGTTTCCGTGATTTTTGTGATAATGAGGATATAATTTTATATCATTAATATCATATGATTACAGTCTCTATTTCGAAAAATTTTGTAGCGCCATCCGGTGTGAGCTAAATGGTTAGGAACTATATGTAAATATTAAGCCTTGTTATGTTCAAGACTTCAAACTTAGGAACAAAAATAACCGTATAAAGCATTAAATACCCCTGATGAAGGAAACCAGACCCTACCGAAGGGGAAACTTACTAAAATCTTATATCACCGTAAAACTGATGAACGACTGACGTCATAACAGTAAGTTTCATTCCACGAAATATATATGAGAATCAAAGAAAGAAACAAAGTAAAATTCATTACTTTTGTAATTGATCGCATACTTTATGTAAGACACTAATTCTCTTCTAATTCAATAAGTGTTTCCGGCTCGTGACAGTTACGACAAATGTCAGAAAGCTTTAGTTTATGACATACAGCAAAAAATGCAGTTTCGTTATAAAAAGTAGCAATTGAAAAGTAGAAAAGAGGTTCATAGCTTTTAACGATTTAATTAGACCGATACTGATATATCGATTTTTATCTTTGTTCTTTCCTAAATTCAAACATAAAAGTATTAAATTCCTTTTGTTCCTTATCGCTTTTAGTTGGCAAGCTTCTTTCGAGAGCCTCATTTTTATTATTGTACGAATAATTAAAAAAAATACTTTTTACTTCAACAAACGTTTCTTTCTCCCATGTGGCTTCAACAGGGTTAGTTGTACAAGAACCTTGTTCATGTTCTCCTTGCGGCTTCAACAGGGTTAGTTGTACAAGAACCTTGTTCATATACTGCAAAAGGGAAACATTGGCTAAAATGAAAATATTTTTTATCATTATCTGAATTAGTAAACTGAGGTTGTTGTTTTTTCTAGCTTTATTGCCAAAAATGTTTAAATCCTTCCAGTATACACCACAAGTTCTGAAAAACAACATTGTACATATAATATTAACTAAGATGTCAGGATTATGCTTTTTGAATTATTGACAGATGGCTTTGAGCTCGAAGTTGCTTGTTATTGCATAAATACTTGTTATACTTCCTTTCAGTACAACTTAAGATCGCCATCTATAATTAGAAGGTTTTTAGTTAAACCTTATTTGATTGTGAGTTTTTATTAAACTTTAGTTTTGACATTCGAGAAATTATGAGGTGAGAAAATTGTTTTATAATTATATTATTGTTAGGTCTTGGTTGGTTATTCAATTATAGTGCAGACGTTGAATCTTTCTAAGACTAAACATTTCATTATTTCTATTTAAAACATGTTGTGTATGTCATAAAAATATATGTATTTTAAGACAGGTTGCTGCTGACAAACAACACCATCCAAATAAAGCTGTTGGAAACGCACATATATAAAGAATGTTGCGTAAGAAAGAATGTAAATATGAAGTTCGTGATTTTTAGGCAATATCATAGCATAAGTTGTTACATAAATGCTTGTTTTATTATTGTTTTCTGAAATGGATCAAACATTTGTGATTTTTATACGAGATAGTTTAATGAGTACATTTTTAAGGTAAGAAACAAATAAATAACGTTATGCAAGCATTAACATCAAAAGAAACGCGAAGTAACTACTAGTAGGTAAAATATCACATACAAGAGAATCATAGTGTTGTAAATTTTAATCGTTAGAGATCAGAATTTCTTGAAGAAACCGAAACCTGTTTTAAACTGGTACAACACTGTTACTGCTCTAGAAAAAGAAACCACGTCGTTTTGTAAAAACTTTATCTCAATCAAACCACCAATCAGTTCGTCTTAATTGTTGATTAATTATTAAAAACCTATTTACGTTCATACCCTTTGCAACAGTTTGTTATTCACCAGTTTATGATAAATTAAACTTAGATTGAAAAGCTGAGCATTTGAGACGTCATTGATTTTACCATAGATACTGGATGATTTTGAGACGTCATTGATTTTATCATAGACACTGGATGATTTTGAGACGTCATTGATTTTACTATAGATACTAGATGATTTTGAGACGTCATTGATTTTATCATAGATACTGGATGATTTTGAGACGTCATTGAATTTACCATAGATACTAGATGATTTTGAGACGTCATTGAATTTACTATAGATACTGGAGATTTTGAGACGTCATTGATTTTACCATAGATCCCGGATGATTTTGTTTCCCCTCAAAAGAAATTCTTGAAAGGCTGTTATCCAATCCAGTTCATACAGATAAAGTTTGCCATGATAAAACCCGTAAAATAACATTTTTCAATACAAAAAAGTGATCAAAATAAAAACGTATTTTTATGATGTATATTTGTGTTGTGCCCGTCACAGATATCAAAACCTGGTTTGTAACGATATAAGCCTTCAGACTTACCACTGTTTTTTCTTTTTTCTCCTTTTTAATTCTAGAATGGACAAGGTACAGTTGGGCACGTAACTGGGCTGCAGTTTTCCGTTAGAGACATTACAACTTTGTACTTTACTAAATACAAAAACAAATTTTTGAAACTTATTGAGTTAATGTATGTGATATCTTACATGCTTCGTATATTTTAATTAAATATTTTAAATTAGCACTCAGTTGATGTTGCACTCAGTTGAAGTTGAAATGAATATATACTGATGTTTAAACTACCCTGGCATTTGTACGCGGCTGAAGATTATAACATGATGAGTAAAATTCACATACACTGTTGTTCAAGTACAATATACCATCTCCCGGTGGGTCATCGGAATAATTGTGGACCTACAACGCTAAAATCCCAGGTTCAGATCCTCGCGGTTGAGAAAGCACAGAAAGTTTATTGTGTAATTTCGCACTAAGGAAATAACAGCTTCCAATATCTCGGTGATAAAGGACGATGAAAGATGGTAGGACCTGAATGCTGTCACTAGATGTCAGCAAAATCGAAATGTGGGTGTTATCTGTGAACATATTTGTTGTAACTAATTAGCCTAATCAGAAAAACTCGCCTTTTTCTCTGGAAGTGAATATAAAATAAATTCCTTAAACGATTGCTACAAGTAAAATCAGTTAAATAATTTCTATACAATGAAACATTAAATGTTTTCGCATTCCTTTGTAATTGTTACAAACATTAGTATTAATAATTTTATATGTTACTTTACTTCTCTTCAAGTAACAAGTTATATCACTGGCTTCTCCAGAACCAAGTAAGCATCTTCTCAAGAGTAACCTCCCTATCTCTCCTGGCTGCCAATATTAACTAAGTTACACACGGAGTTCGCGAGTTTGTTATAAAACAAAGATAAAATGGTAAAAACCTTAATATATATAACAATAGTAGTAACGTCAAAGTGTAGGTTTTGAAAAGGCATTTCCATCGTTACAATAACAGCATCAATTATTAAACACATTATTTTCAATTGATTTCTTCAATCAATCTAGGTCTACATATACGTCCTAATTATTGAACTATTGCTTCAGTACATGTATATCAGCGATCTACGCTTTCCCATGTGTTCTAGATACTCCCTGTTGTTGAAACTATCAGGTTTCTTCACGTATTCTAACTATTTACTATTGTTTGATTACACGAATAACGGTATTTCTACCAATCAGATTTATCCATTGTTAGTTCCATCTAATGACTTGATCTCTCTCTTTTATTTTTTCTGATATAGGTTTCTCTAGAAAAAGTTTTTCAGAACATGACTGTTTTTTGTTTTTACCTGGGATATCTTCTGTACAATAAATATTTTTTCCTTAGATATCCTGAGATATTTTATAGTAGAGTATTTTTCCTTAAATGTCCTTAAGATATTTTTTTCATTACAGATAGTTTTTCTTTAAAATGTCTTTGGGTATTTTTTATTATTTTCTTGCAAAAAAGACATTTTTTTCCTTAACTTTCCTTGGGATTTTCCCCCATAGTTATTTTCTTAACTTCTTTGTGATATCCTCTTATTTACAACAAACATTTTCCCTTAAATTTCCTTGGAATTTTTTTCCACAGTTATTTTCTTAAACTTTTCTCTGATGTCCTCTTCTTTACAACAAACATTTTTTCTTAAAAAGGCCACGATCTTTTTACCGAGAAGCTTTGCCCGTGCAGTGGGTCAGTCAACTAGGTATTTTACTGCGATTAGAAAAAGTGACTTTACAAACAGTCAGTTTAAGTGTAAGTTAGTTTAGTTTGTGTGTGTGGCTTTACGCATTGTTTTTACCATATAAACTTGTAACGCAAACCATACAATTTCGTGGCAAAACACCAAACATTTTACTTTTCTTTTTTTCACAAACAGCACAGAGTTCATAAAAAGAAATAATTTTTCCTTAAATTTCCTTGAATCTGTTTTTGTTTTATTTGTTTTTCCACAGTAGAGTTGTTTTTTATCAAACTTCTCTGCGATATACTCTTTAGAACAATAAAAATTCTATGTCACATATTTTTGCAAGATTTCTCTTTAAATCGCTATTATACCTATGATAAAAATATCATACATTAAAAAGTGAAAAATGTTAATATGTTAATTTGGGTATCTAAATACAATGAATTTTGTAATAACGTTATACTTTATATCTCCGTTAAGAGATATCCAGTATCTTTATTAAAAGTATTTAACTGCGAGTGACAGTAATAGTAATACATAATTGTAGCTATATATGTTACATCGCTTTGACATCAAAGTGAACTTCACAACTCATACATATATTTGAGTCTACTCATAACAATGTTGTTCATTCTGAGTGTATGTAAAACACTTTCATAAGTTCTATGAAAATTTAAAGTTGATTCATTTACAAACATGAATATGCCAAGTTTCATATATTAAATACATACATGCATTTGGACACTTTATGAAAGTGGCCATACACAGTCAATACTCCTGTATTCAAAATGGATTTTCCAAATTCGTTCTGGAAAGCCGGACATCATTATATTAAAGTTACGGTGTCATATTGATCCAGTGCTTGTAATTTGTATTAAAAGTATAGTGTCAAAATGTCCTTGTAAAAGAAAATACTAATAAAAAATGAAAAATGTATATAATTACGATGTTTGAGACATTCACTACCAAATACCAAACTTACGATGACACACGATTTTTCTTTTGAAAGACCAGCTAGCATCGCTAAGGTCTATGACTAAAAATGGCACGAAAATCCTAATTGAATATATAAAAATAATCATTCTATCTAATCAAAGTCACAGACTGCGACTAGCTAGAACAGCGAAGGTTACTAGCTAAAGGGACAACAAATAGTTTCATCTTCTTTTGACTGAAAGGTATGGCACAAAGCAGTGATTGGTTACATATGTTTAAAAAGAATTATCACATCACATAAGGGACATTATTCCGCTTCTTTCTTAACAACTTAAATCGGGTCGAAACTTGACTAAGAGTTCCTGACTTTGGTTTTGTAATAGACAGATGGATAGACGTGTGAGCTGATGTATTTATTGGAAAGTATGGGATGAGAGTGGATTTTAATATTTATTATATAATTGAATGAGTTTCTAGAAGAGAGAAATAGAACTTTCTTTGCAATATGAAGCAGTTTTTGAAACCTCTAACTTTAACTGATTGCCTTATGAAAGTTATGTAAAAGGGTTGACTAAATACGCCGGATCTTAAGGGTGTATAGGTAATTTTGGTAGCTAACTATATATGTAACATTAATTTTGAAATCTAATACATTCTTTATCAAGACATTCATGCCTGTGCTGCGCAGACTCACACAAGCACCTTATAAACCCACATACTTGACCAATTGGTTTGTTTCCGAATTCAATTTTGCATCAAGGGGGTGGGGGCTTCTCTTTCATGACTAAATTGTAACGGACCGCAGTAAATTCTTTCAAAAATGTCCTGATACCACATAAAACACACACACAAACACACACACACACACACACACACACACATAAAACCTTTGATATTCAAAATGCGCCAAAATCTGCGCACATGTCAAAATCTGTGGAGTCGAGACCACCGGGTTCATATGCATCATCGTGTATTCCAATAGATTCGTGATTAACATCACTTTCGTTATTGCTAAAGTGATGGTCCCCATTATCATACCAGTGAGCACCAGCGTCGTAAAAACTATTGACCCACTCCTCATTCCAGCCTCGTCCTAAACCCCAACCCATTGTGCTACCAAGAAATATACTCATAGCAAGGTCACCATTGTTTTGGCGATCAGAAATGGGAACGTTGGAAACTGGTTCTGATTGCTGAACGTATCCATAACTGAGTTGTTGAGACAAGCCACTAGATGGTAAAAATGTGTGTCTGCTGCAACCTGGAATATATATAAAAAAAAGTATTATTTTACGTATTGTGCTTGTTACATGTATAAATCTGTTGTCTACCCTGATGCGGAAAATTCAACACAACAGACACTATTAGCCATTCTGAAGGCAAAATCTAGCAACGCCAACTGCTCTTAAAAGTATTCTTTTATTTTCATAAAAATAAAATAATAGAAGTTTCGATTACGGGTAAACAATAATATCTGACGAAATTAAACGGTATCAACTGAATTTAACCAAGATTTCCGTTTTGAGTTCCCCAGCACGTGTCTAAATAAAACGAAATTAAAAATATAAAGAAGCAAGTTATACATGATATTAGTCGAATCAGGTAGGCAGTTTTATTATGAGCATATTTGAAAATCAAAATATTTTAATGTTGTTGAATGAATGTAATAATTCTGTTTTAACAATAAAACCAATATTTTATCTTTCATCAGGTTCCCGCCTTCAGTTATTTAGGAAATTTACAGTCTTCTCTATATCTCCATAAGATTAGATTTGTATGGACTTTGTCTGGTAAAAGCTTTTACAGAGGTTTCACCATATTAATGTTTATTCTTGCACATGACTCTCCCATTGGTAAAATCCGAGGATAGACAGCAGATAGCCATTATTAGCTTTGCACTAACACACACAAAAAAAATACATTAACTAATAAAAATAAAGTTGACCTGATTAATCTTACAGGAAATATGTATATATAAAAGTTTGTTTTAGAAATTTGCGCTACACAAGCCGTCTCTAATTTGAACTTATAGAGGAAGGACAACTGGTCAACACCAGCCACAGCAACTTTTCGGATACTTTAATCGAATAGTGGAATTTGACCGTCATTCCTATAACGCATTCACAGCAACAAAATGCGTAATGCCCTTTTTCTTTGGTAACAGGACACGAACCAGGGAACCTCAGATTCAAGGACCTGCACACTAATTTCTGGCCACGCTCGGCCAGAAATTTAAAAGTACAGAAAAAAAAGTAAAATAAAACCCTTATAGGAAAGTTTAGAAAAGAAAAATAAAACATCTCATTGAGAATGAAAAAATTAGAAAAACTACCAATAATGTGAGTAGTGATAAGTACAACAATCTCTCTGAATGGTGTAATTTACTTTGTTACTTCTGCTAACTTACAAGTCGCATTTGATATATGAAGTCACCCACCGGTTCAGTCAGGTACATTTTGTCCCTGGGCCTTTTTGGGGTGTTGCTACGATTGTTGTAATTGTTGTTTTTTTTTGTTTAGCACAAAGATACATAATGGGCTATTTGCGCTCTGCCAACCGCAATGGTTCGTACCCCGATTTTTAGCGTTGTAAACCCGTAAACTTACCACTATTCCGCCGGTTAGAACTAAAGGCAAAATATGAGTAAATAACCAGTTAATAAATGGGAATACATACCTACTCACAGTTTATAATGTGTAAGATATAACTTCAATATTACAAATTCGAAATCGTACACACATATTTATAAGTATTAGTATAAACAGTGGAAAAAAACTTGTTGCACATACATGCATATATATATATATATGTATATATATATATTAGCTTACAAATTAATTTTGTTCATGTTGAAGCTTAGTCATTAAAGCGAACTTATGGAAACTTCCATGAACGAAAGTTAAACTTCAAGTATTTAACAAATCTGCAAGAAAATAACAGAAAGATGATCGAATATTCTGTAGTCTTATCCAACCTTGAACATCTAAATTTCCTTGCGAAGGCTTTAACTAGGTTTCACTGTCAATAAAAATAAAAGATACAGTATCAATAATGCCCATGTTGCCAAGTAAATTGGGTCACCAGCAGAGATTGGTCAGATTGAGAGTAATTACCAGAAAGCCCACGCGTCTGAGGAGCTGAGAAACGAGCTCGTAAGTTACCACCGTGAAGATAGAAAAGTTAATGTCATTTATCACTCGAGACGTACTGATATAATTTGTGCTGGCAATCATAACAGTGAAGTTGAAAAAATGCTTTGTAAGAAAAAAAAATCTTCAGTTATTTCGATAAACTTTATAGGCCCTTCCTGTTCTCGCTAAATTTCATATATTTTTTATATAAGATGATTGTTTTGTAATTAAGCACAAAGCTACACAATGGGTTATTTCTGCTCTGCCCATCACGGGTATCGAAACCCGTTTTATATAAGAAGTAGTCAAAAATGTTTTCTATGATCAAATAAATATTTACGACCACATTCGTTTTTGATTCGTACTGTATAAACTTAATATATAAAAAATATTTCAAAACTTACATTTTAAGTGTTGATGCTTTGGTTTTAGTTTCAGTATAGTATTTCAGTATTATGTGTATGAAAACCTAAGCAGCTTGCTAAAGGTACACATTCAAGTTTCTCATTATATATCGTTTTTAAAAAATATAAACAATCAGTTAAAACTAAATAGGAATTAGGACAATTTTGTTATCACACATTTGTTAAACTTTTCACTTATTTTGTGAAACAATTAAAGGTTTTAGAATCACATGAAACTAACCAAGTTAATAGATCCTAAGTGATATATTTCGTATCAATATTCTAAGATATCCGAGAAAAAATACAAAAATATGTTTGCAATATAAAATACAATTGCTGAAATCAGGGGTTTCACAAACTGGACACCACAGGAAAATGCCAGTGGGGCAGTAGCAAATACACAAAATATACAATACTGTTAAAATACTCAGTATTTATAGACTCATTGGGTTGGTGGACTCGGTAAAGATGCTAAATGCTCTAGAGGGTGGAGGGAAGGGGTCATTATGATGAGATAGTTTGGAAACCTCTCGCTTAAAGTAGCAGTTGGCAATTTTTTAACTTCACAAAATGTAGATAGGATTGTGAAGTCAAGTTTGAAATAACTTAAATTTTTAATGATATGGGTGTTTCTTCAGAATGATTTGTAGATTCACTGGATGTTTCTTCAGAATGATTTGTGGATTCACTGGATGTTTCTGCAAACTAGCAGCTGAGAACCCCTGGTTTAAGGTACTCGCTCTTAAGACGAACTCACTATAGAAAATCTTATTAATGAAATCCCATTTCGTCAGTTATTTCAATAGATGAACTTGCTCAACTGAAAAGGCAAAAAGATAGGGGATTTTCACAGTGTAAAGATTTTCACATATGCACAGCAGTCGTAGTTTACATAATATAAGTAACTGAATCTTTATTAACATATCTGTTGCTATTATCATAATATAGAAAATGACTCGTGATTGGCTACAAGTCATCTGTCTTTACTTGTTTTTTTATGTTTGTTTTTCTGTTGTTAATTTTTTATATCATTCAATCCTCTAGAGTTTACAATCTTTCCGAAGTTACAGAAGAAATTGATTGAACGGTGTTAAACTCGAAAATAAATTCTGAATTTTAATCTAGTTTGGCTAGGTAGAAACTGTTCTACCGAATTTATGATGAAAAACGTTTGCTATCAAAACCATGTCACTGTACATAAAAGCTAAAAGGGGAAGCTTACCTTGGCAACCTTGAAAGTCATGTAATTGAGAAGAAGGTCTTGCTGGAGGTGGAGGCAGCTGTAAAGATAAGATTAGTTGAACGCTTGACATGAAGTGGGATATGATTTTTTTTCGAGATATAATAGCTTTAGATTATAATAAATGGTTGTATGTTTTTCCAACCATTCCAAACAATATGCAACTTATCACGTTTTACATGATATTAAAAGATCGTATGCTATTCCAATAATCACAAACAATATGTAAGCGATTAAACTTCACATTATAATAAAAGATCGTCTGCTATTCCAATAATCACAAACAATATGTAAGCGATTAAACTTCACATTATAATTAAAGATCGTCTGCTATTCCAATAATCACAAACAATATGTAAGCGATTAAACTTCACATTATAATAAAAGATCGTCTGCTATTCCAATAATCACAAACAATATGTAAGCGATTAAACTTAACATTATAATTAAAGATCGTCTGCTATTCCAACTATCCTAAATAATGCACAACTCACTAAGCTTTAAGTTGCAGTATCGAACAAACTACATACAATTAATATTGATGTTTATTATTTATTAAACTTTGAAATAATTAAAGAAATCTTACGTATAAAGAACGTTTTGAAGAACTAGCGTCGAAATACAACACTCTTAATTCATTACACTTACCAAGTTACTGATGGTAGTCATCCAAGACCTGAAAAGTAGACATATGAACGTTATAATCATCATCTTTATTATAGTAAATATTTTTCTTCTTATAAAGCGATCTTAGAAGCTTTATATGATGTATATATATATATTTTACAAAAGTGCACGAATTTTATAAAATAGTATAGGATTAATGAAGTACAGAAGTAATAAGTAATACGTAACTATTTTTGTAAAGGTTTGTAAACTGATTTGTTTGCTTTAGCGCAAACCTACATCACGGACTATTTGTGCTGTGTCCAACGCGAGTACTGAAACCCGATTTTCAGCGTTATAACCATCACACTCAGCCACCAGGCGGCGGGGCTTTTGTAAAGGTAGGTGATAGACAAACTACATCCTAATGATACAGAGAAAACAAAATCTTGTTCATACAACTATTAATACGTAATAGAACCTTTATAGTTGGTTCACTAGGAACGGCTGGAGGAATATGTCACGGCCTTTTCCAGGAAGAATATTCACATAGTGAGAATATTAAACGATAAATATATATATATCCAGAGTACGTAATGACATTTCTAAGTAAATAACATTCAATGTTTTCCGTGGGAGTATAAAACATACACAGCAAAGTGTTTATGACAGCAATAGGCTCAGAAGAGACATTTGTTGACCAATCCGGAATAATTATCGCAATCACAAAGTAGAATATATGATTACGAAAAAATAAAACATTCTTCCTTCCACCATACAAACATCGCACAAGCTGGACATGTTTCCTGCTATCTTTAACAAGATAATGAACAAGACTTCGAAGCTTACGAAGACTTATAAGCTCTCAAGCTACACTTTGAAATGAACAAGTGCCTTTTTTGAGAATGATAGCATAATAAAGTGAAATCCCATTTGGCCACATATCTGACTTAGTAATATGGTCTTGGAATCGATATCCACTACAGTATACAGACTATGGAAAGTTAGTTATGGCCTGTGGTTGGCTTTGACTTCCTTTGCAGTTAAAAGTGTGGACTGTGTTCAACGCCATATTGCATCTCGAATCCGCGACCGTCCGATATCAAGCCCAGCACTCTATACAATAGTGTTCGCTCGATCCCCCAATAACAGATCCAGAGCTTTACAGTAAGATGAATGCGTTATATTAGATCGTTTTTTGAATGTTGTAAATTGGCAAGTCACGTGATAACAACAGCGATATAAAGTTTCGGTGGATTTTTGTTTGTGTTTTGTGAAATTTCTCGCAAAGTTACTCGAGAGCTATCTGCGCTAGCCGTCCCTAATTTTGAAGTGATAGAAAAGGCAGCTAGTCAACACCACCTACCGCCAGCTCGTGGCTACATTAATCGAATAGGGGTATTTCACCATCACTCTTATAACGCACCCATAGCCGTAAAGCGCAGATCACGCTCATTGTTTTTGGCGATAACAGGACGCGAATCAAGAAACCTTGCATTCACAGTCTGACACGTTAATCACTGGCTCGTACTCTGAAGGTTTGCGGCATGTGTCAGGACTACGTTCTGACATTGGTATTTCACCGAAAATTGATTGCCTTCAGAAAGGATATCTAACAGCCTTTCCTAATAAAAAAAAAATACACTCAGATCATAGAGATGTGTTTATATCGGGAATTTATTGACATGGCAGTATTTGTTTGTTTGTTGTAAAACACAAAGCTAAATAATGGGCTATCTGTGCTGCCCACCGCGGGTATCGAAACCCGATTTTTAGCATTATAAATCCACTAACTTACCGCTGACCTAACGGGAGACTTGAAATGACACCATATTTATCTTAGTATTAATTTGGCGCAACTCATAATATCAAATATCAACCATCATTCATTTGTTGTAGATCTAGTTCGGTTAAATCTGGTTTGTTGTAGATCTAGTCCGGTTAAATTTGGTTTGTTGTAGATCTAGTCCGGTTAAATCTGGTTTGTTGTTTTATACACATATTATCCGTAGATTTTTCAATACCTAAAAAAATGAAAAATTGATTCATATCCATTTTGTGCGCTTTCGAGACTTTTATTTTTTTTATACTTCGCTCTCCTTTATATAATATATCAAATACCAGAGTATACTGCTATAATATAGCAAATACCAGAGCATACTGCTATAATATATCAAATACCAGAGTATACTGCTATAATATAGCAAATACCAGAGCATACTGCTATAATATATCAAATACCAGAGTATACTGCTATAATATATCACATACTAGAGAATACTGCTATAATATATCAAATACCAGAGTATACTGCTATAATATATCAAATACCAGAGTATACTGCTATAATATATCAAATACCAGAGTATACTGCTATAATATATCAAATACCAGAGTATACTGCTATAATATATCACATACCAGAGTATACTGCTATAATATATCAAACATCAGAGTATACTGCTATAATATATCCCATACCAGAGTATACTGCTATAATATATCACATACTAGAGAATAATGCTATAATATATCAAATACCAGAGTATACTGCTATAATATATCAAATACCAGAGTATACTGCTATAATATATCAAATACCAGAGTATACTGCTATAATATATCCCGTACCAGAGTATACTGCTATAATATATCAAACATCAGAGTATACTGC